TTCCAACATATAATGTTATTTAACATTAGACTTGCCCCAGCAGACTGGGTAATCAATTTTGATATTGGACTAGATGAGAAAGAATGGAGAAAGTTTGATAGTGGGTTGTGGGTTGAGTCGTGTGGGAGTGAAGAAATGTATGGGATGGTGGTGTGATCAATGATTGGGGATGGTAACAGTAAACAAGGAAAGGAAATCCCTAAAATTGGGTAACTGAAAATTTTAGTTTTTTAAAAAAGGAAGTAAAATAAAATTAATGATCTATTATTAATTAATAATAAAAAACTATAAATAGATTAATAATTTATTAAATAAATATAATTTAATTTTAAAATAAAATAAAATTTAACTGATATGTCATAGCCCGTAAATAATCTGTTATAAGCAAAAAGTAGGTTTAAAACCCGTAATATTTACTCTTAAATGTGTATATGGGGTGATTTTCCTTTTTTTCTTTCATTCATCTTCTTTAGGTGGTCTGGTACACCAGAGGTGGCGAGGAGTATGCTAGTACACCGGAGGCAGCGAGAAATTTTCTGGCCTTCTGGTACACCGAAAAGGATGGAGAGCATAGGGGGTCCCTGGTTGTTCGCAGGAGTCGTCAATGGTACGGAAAAATGAAGACGGTGGAGAGGGGAACGAGGCTGGTGAGGGGCAATGAGCTGGTGCGGCAGCTTATGGTTTTTGGATTTGTGGAGGTTGGAGAAGGATGAGGTAAGAAAAATGGTGAAAGTGTGCGACGAAGACAGAGACAGATGAAGGAGAGAGTACTTGTGGTCTCGCCGGCAAGAGGAGTGGTGGCAGCGGCAAATTTCTCCGGTGATTGGGCCTTTTCACGATGAAAATGGCTGATATAGGGAGACCCAAAATTTTAATTTAGAAGAATAATTAATTTGTTTTTGTAAAGTTTGAATCAAAACTTTATGATTTTGGTCTAAAAATAAATTATTATAAAAAATAAAAGGGAAAATGCATAAGTACCCCCCAGCCTATACCCGAAATCCCAGAGACACACCTAACCTTTACTAAGGTCCTATTACCCCCCCCCCCCGAACTTATTTTATATGTAATATTCTACTCCTTTTTTGCCTACATGGCACAATCTTGTGGGCCCAGCGCATGTTGACATTTTTTTCAAGGATAGTGCCACGTAGGCCGAAAAGGGGTAGAATATTATAGATAAATTAAGTTCGGGGGGGTAATAGGATCTTAGTAAAGGTTAGGTGTGTCTCTGGGATTTCGGGCATAGGCTGGGGGGTACTTATGCATTTTCCCAAGATAAAAAATGATGTGGCAAAATTTATCTTACATGGAATGTGACATCAGCGCGATTGAGAGACACGATGTGTTGAAAGGGTTCAACATGCTGAGTTTAAATGAGTTCGGGAGTTCAAATGACAAAGGATAAGTAGAAGGGTTCACAATACAAACGGGTACAAGTATAAGGGTCCACCAAACCATTTAGCCTAAAAAACTACTAATATTTTCAATGGTTTGGATTTGTTAGCCTGTCCTTTTTGCTTCCACAACACAAACTGTGTAAGTCAATGTTATTATTTCATAAATATAATATTATTTATCATTTCAAGAACAACTTCAAAATTTTACAAGTTCAAATCTCATAGACTTCAAAGGGAGGATCTAACAGAAGTACGAAATTTCTATTTTTATAAATCAATCGTAACACAAGCTCAATCAGGAGACATGGAGGATCAGATAGAAGTACGAAATTCCGATTTTTCCAAGTCCATGTGTAGTAGCAACTTAAAACAAGATGAAGTAGCTATAGTTATGGTTCCATTTCCAGGACAAGGCCATCTCAATCAACTTCTTCAACTTGCTTGTTTAATCACCTCATCATATGATCTTCCTGTCTATTATGTTGGCTCAGCTACACATAATCTTCAAGCTCGGATTAGAGCCAACGCGTTAAATCCTTCAGACATAGCCAAAATTCATTTCCATGATATCCCAACACCTGATTTTACCTCCCCTGCACCTGATCCTAATGCATTGAGCAAATTCCCATCACATCTTGAGCCATCATGGGATGCTTGTATGCTTCTTCGCGAGCCTATTGCTTCCTTCTTATGTGATATTTCCACAAAATCAAGACGAGTCGTTGTTGTTCATGATTCTTTAATGTCCTATAACGTTCAGGATGTTTCTTCCTTGCACAATGCGGAATCCTATATATTTAATTGCATTTCAGTGTTCACTTTGTACTGTATTATACGCTTGTCTGTTGGAATGTCTGTTCCACTTGAAGAGGAATTGCTGAAAAAGTTACCTTCCCTTGATGGAATTATGACGGATAAAATTAGAGATCGCGGAGCTTCTCAGAGTCCATATGTAGATATTAGATCAGGTAATATCCATAATACAAGCAAAGTAATTGAAGGTAAGTTTCTTGACTTGTTGACACAAGTAGCAAGTGATCAGAACAAGAAAAATTGGGCAATTGGACCAGTTTTGCCTACTAAACTAGATTGTATCTCGAATAGGGAGAATATATGTTTGGATTGGCTTAACAAACAACCTCCAAGATCAGTTCTTTATGTATCTTTTGGAACAACAACTTCATTTTCCGATAGAGAAATCAAGGAACTCGCGATGGCATTAGAGCAGAGCAAACAGAGGTTTGTATGGGTGTTGAGAGACGCCGATAGAGGAGATATCTTTACTGAGGAAGCTAGAAAAGTTGAGTTGCCTGAAGGGTTTGAGGAAAGAGTAAAAGGGATTGGGTTAGTTGTAAGAGAATGGGCACCACAACCAGAAATATTGGCTCATTCGTCTACAGGCGGGTTCATGAGTCATTGTGGATGGAATTCTTGTATAGAGAGCATTACTATGGGGGTTCCTATAGCTGCTTGGCCTATGCACTCTGACCAACCAATGACTGGTTTCTTGGTGACGGAAGTGTTAAAAATAGGCCTGATTGTGAGGGAGTGGGAGAAACGCGAGGAGTTGGTGAATGCATCCACCATTGAGAATGTTGTGAGGAAGTTGATGGCATCAGAAGAAGGTAATGTGATTAGAAAAAGAGCAGAAGAATTGGGAGAAGCTGTAAGGCAGTCCACAGAGAAAGGGGGAGCTTCTCGAATGGAGATGGATTCTTTCATCGCGCATATCGCAAGATAGACTTCATTTTCAAGTATTTTGGTTACTCCCTTAAACTTTTATGCCTATGGGTGAGATGATTGCTTTGTATTTCTTTCTTAACAGACACTCAATCTGGTTTTAACATGAATAAATGTTTGCCTATCTTAATCTGTTTATTGTTCTAATTAGAGTAAAAAAGCATCTTTAGAGTTGTCTATCGGAAACTACCTCTCATGCTCAACACCAATTTTAAAAGCACACATGACGATCGAGCAAGATGCTAACTTTCAGACCTGTACATGTATTATTTAAATGGTTAAATCATAAATGTGATGCGAACATGTGAAATTTTCAAACTTGCTAACTAATTTGGATAACATCACCATTATTGATGAGCAAACATTCATTATAATATCAAATACATGTTGACTTCAATGGTGATGAAACTTTGAACTTGTAGACATGTTATCCAATATAATAAGCAAATTAAAATTTAACATAAGTCCAGCTATTTTTACCTTGTAAATAATACATGTTGAACTAACTTGGAATTTTCAACAACACCAGCTGAAAATTAGGATCTTGCTCCTCAGATGTGTTTACAATTAGCATTTTAACTTTATATTTAATACATAGTTTCTAGTTCATGACAGTAAATTAAATAATATCATGAACAGACTGACATTATATATATTCACTTGTTAAAGCCTAGTTATAATTGAGCATTTAGATAACACCAAACTACCTCTTGTGATGAATGTCCAGGAAGCTGTGAAATTCATCGAAGGTTGATGTACTTCCTCATTTCCATGTTACTTTTCGCGTTTACTATTTACATCTTATGCGATAATAACTATTAGTACTTCAGTAGTTGGTGAACATCTGAGAAATCACAGTGAAAGAACTGAAAAGTTCATCACAGCTGATTTTCCCAACAAATAGTAAAAACTTGTTGTGTCTTCAAATATTCCCAAAACTCTGGAGGATTACACTCTCTAATTTAATTACTATCCTTAACTAGAGGCATCAGGTTCGAGCTTTTAATCTGAAATCACCCTTGGCATGAAGTGGTGTACCTTTCAAAGTGCGACTTTTTGTCCGTAATTAGGATTAGTCACTCCAAAATGAATATCAAACATCGGATCAAAACAAATTATGCCCAAAAAAAATGTACTCCTTTAGACAGACAGTGAGTGTTTTCTAATATTATATGTAGTCCTGGAGCATTACTAGATCATTTAAAAAACAGACAAATATATAAAGTAAACAAAATACATGAAAAGAGAAACCAAAAATGAAAAAATTCTAGAAGACCAATTATCACTACTTTCCAAAACTATGGTGAATGGTCACAATAGTACTTCTGCAATCTGCACCACATACTTTTCTTTCCTCACATCCAAATTATTTTGTCATATAATAAGTCCTTTTGTCTTGTAACAAGGTGAAAGTTACATAGCCATGATTGATTTTTGTATTGAAAACATGCTTGAACTTGGCGCAAATTATTAGTTTTGTCCTTAAACTATTGACAGCCTTAAAAGCGCTCTACTTGACTAACTAAACTAAGATACACCCCAATCTACCACATGACATAGCAAGTGGTCTCAAACTCTTATAGGAGCAAGGGGTTCTTAATAAATAACCGAGAGAAATGTTGAAAACACCCCTAAACTTGGCGAGGATTTAGAGGTGTATTTCACTCATGTTGCAAGATCGCAGGTGTATTTAAGTTCAGTTAATCAAGTAAAGGGGTGTTTTTAAGGCTGTCATTAGCTCGAGAATAAAACTAATGATTCACCTGAGTTTTAAGCGTGTTTTCAATACTTCTCTTTTAAACAATTCTCATAGACTTAAAAGTTGTTGCCCTGCTTCTACCATGACACAAACTCAACCAGGTACAAAACTCCAGTTTGTCATCGTCCATGTATAGCTGTGAGAATTTACCAAACCATGAAGTAACTATAGTTATGGTTCCATTTCCAGCTCAAGGTCACCTTAACCAACTTCTCCAATTTTCATGTTTAATCTCTTCCTATGGTCTTCCTGTCTACTATGTTTGTTCAGCCACACATAATCGTCAAGCCAGGATTCGAGCTAACGCGTTAAATCCTTCAGACATAGCCATAGTTCACTTCCATGACCTTCCAACTCCTAAATTTGACTCACCATCACCTGACTTTAATACCTTGAGCAAATTCCCATCACATCTTCAGCCATCGTGGGATGCTTCTATGCTTCTTCGCAATCCCATTGCTTCTTTCTTACGCGATATTTCATCAAAAGCAAGACGAATCATTGTTGTTCATGATCCTTTAATGTCCTACAATGTTCAGGATGTTTCTTCTTTGTCCAATGTGGAATCCTATGTATTTAACTGCATTTCAGTTTTCACTTCATTCTGTTGGCTAAGCTTATCTCGTTCGATGTCTATGCAACATGAAGAAGAATTGCTTGAAAAGCTACCCTCCCTTGAAGGAATTATGACAGATGAAGGCAGGGACTTTTTGACTTATCAGCACCAGTATATGGATATTAGATCAGGTGATATCCATAATACAAGTAAAGTAATTGAAGGCAAGTTTCTTGATTTGTTGGCACAAGCAGAAATTCATCTGAACAAGAAGCAATGGGCAATTGGACCTATTCTGCCTAATAAACTCGACCATATCTCAAATAGGAACGATATATGTTTGGAGTGGTTGAACAAACAACCTCCGAGATCAGTTCTTTTTATATCGTTTAGAACAACAATTTCCTTTTCTGATAGGGAAATCAAGGAGCTCGCGATGGGGTTAGAGCAGAGTAAACAGAGGTTCATATGGGTGTTGAGAGACGCCGATAGAGGAGATATCTTTAAAGGGGAAGCTAGAAAAGTTGAGTTGCCTGAAGGATTTGAGGAAAGAGTAAAAGGGGTCGGGTTAGTGGTAAGAGAATGGGCACCACAACCAGAAATCTTGGTTCATTCATCCACTGGCGGGTTCATGAGTCATTGTGGATGGAATTCATGCATAGAGAGTATTACTATGGGAGTGCCTATAGCTGTTTGGCCTATGCACTCTGATCAACCAATAAATGCTTTCTTCGTGACAGAAATGTTGAAAATAGGACTGATTGTGAGGGAGTGGGAGAAACGCGAGGAGCTGGTGAATGCATCCACCATTGAGAATGTCGTGAGGAAGTTGATGGCATCAGAAGAAGGAGACCTGATTAGAAAAAGAGCAGAAGAATTGGGAGAAGCTATAAGGCAGTCCACAGAGAAAGGGGGAGCTTCTCGAATGGAGTTGGATTCTTTCATCACACATATCACAAGATAGACTTCATTTTCAAGTATTTTGGTTACCACCTTAAACTTTTATGCCTATGGGTGAGATGATTGCTTTGTATTTCTTCTTAACAGATACTTAATCTGGTTTTAACATGAATAAATGTTTGCCTATCTTAATCTGTTTATTTGTTCTAATTGGAGTAAAAAAGCATCTTTAGAGTTGTCTATCGGAAACTACCTCTCATGCTCAACACCAATTAGGATCTTGCTCCTCAGATGTGTTTATAATTAGCATTTTAACTTTATATTTAATGCATAGTTTCTAGTTCATGACAGTAAATTAAATAATATCATGAACAGACTGACATTATATATATTCACTTGTTAAAGCCTTGTAATAATTGAACATTTTGATAACACCAAACTCGCCTTCACTTCTAAAACTTGAGCCATATCGAAAAACACCATAGGTTTTATCATGATTATTGCCTTCTACCTTTACTATATCGACTCTACATCAGGTTCTCTGTTGTCATGGGAATCACATGAATTGCGGTTACCATCTTCTAGATCTCAACAACTAATCAAAATTGATTCAGAAAAACAAACAAAATTGTTGGTTACGTGTTTATGTGATCATTGTGATTGTGCTTGCCCTTGTGATGAATGTCCAGGAAGCTGTGAATTTCATTGAAGGTTGATGTACTTCCTCATTTCCATTTTACTTTTCGCGTTTACTATTTACATCTTGGCAAGAGAGATGGTCCTTCTATTTGTATAATATGGTGCTGTAGCTACTTTCATGTGATTTTGTTGGTCTCTCGATGAAGAAAATGACTTATGCGATAATAACTATTAGTACTTTAGTAGTTGAATGAACATCTGAGAAATCACAGTGAAAGAATTGAAAAGTTCATCACAGCTGATTTTCCCAACAAATAGTAAAAACTGGTTGTGTCTTCAAATATTCTCAAAACTCTGGAGGATTACACTCTCTAACTTAATTACTATACTTAACTAGCGGCATCAGGTTCGAGCTTTAATCTGAAATCACCTTTGGCATGAAGTGTTGTACCTTTCAAAGTGAGACTTTTTGTCCATAATTAGGATTAGTCAAACTCCAAAATGAATATCAAACATCGGATCGAAACAAATTATGCCAAAAAAAAAAAAATGTACTCCTTTAGACAGACAGTGTGTGTTTTCTGATATTATGTAATCCTGGAGCATTACAAGATCATTTTAAAAACAGACAAATATATAAAGTAAACAAAATACTTGAAAAGAGAAACCAAAAATGAAAAAAATCTAGAAGACCAATTATCACTAGTTTCCAAAACTATGGTGAATGGTCACAATTCCTCTGCAATCTGCACCACAGACTTTTCTTTCACATCCAATTTTTTTTTGTCATGTAATGTCCTTTTGTCTTGTAATAAGGTGAAAGTTACATAGCCAAGATAGATTTCTGTATAGAAAACATCCTTGAGGCGCAAATTATTAGTTAAGCTATTGACAGCCTTAAAAACACACTCTACTTAACTAACTAAACTAAGATACACCCCGATCTACTACATGACATAGCAAGTGGTCTCAAACTCTTGTAGGAGCAAGGGGTTCTTAATAAAAAGCTGAGAGAAGTGTTGAAAACACTCCTAAACTTGGCGGGAATTTAGAGGTGTATTTCACTCATGTTGCAAGATCGAGGGTGTATTTAAGGCTGTCAATAGCTTGGGAATAAAACTAATGATTCATGTTGAGTTTAAGTGTGTTTTCAATACTTGTCTCTTTAAACAATTCTCATAGACTTAAAAGTTGTTGCCCTGCTTCTACCATGACTCAAACTCAACCAGGAGAGGATCCAACAGAAGTACAAAACTCCGGTTTGTCATCGTCCATGTATAGCTGTGAGAATTTACCAAACCATGAAGTAGCTATAGTTATGGTTCCATTTCCAGCTCAAGGTCATCTTAACCAACTTGTCCAACTTTCATGTTTAATCTCCTCCTATTACTATGGGAGTGCCTATAGCTGCTTGGCCTATGCACTCCGACCAACCAATGAAAGGTTTCTTGGTGACAGAAGTGTTAAAAATAGGCCTGATTGTGAGGGAGTGGGAGAAACGCGAGGAGTTGGTGAATGCATCCACCATTGAGACTGTTGTGAGGAAGTTGATGGCATCAGAAGAAGGCAATGTGATTAGAAAAAGAGCAGAAGAATTTGGAGAAGCTGTAAGGCAGTCCACAGAGAAAGGAGGTCTTCTCGAATGGAGTTCGATTCTTTCATCGCGCATATCACAAGATAGACTTCATCTTCAGTTACTACCTTACATTTATTTGATCTTGGAATGTTCAGTATCTTATAAACTTTTATGCCTATCAATGAGATGATTGCTTTGCATTTCTCTCTTAACAGATACTTAATCTGGTTTTAACATGAATAAATGTTTGACTACCTTAATCTGTTTATTTGTTCTAATTGGAGTTAAAAAGCATCTAAGTCTATCGAAACCACCTCTCTTGCTCAACGCTAATTTTAAAGAGATAGTCCTTCTATTCGGACGTGGTGCTGTATCCATTTCCATGTAATTCTATTGGTCTCTCGAAAAAAAAAATGAATTATGTGATTATAAGTATTAGTAGTTGAGTGAACATCTGAGATATCAACTACGCATAAATAAAACAAATCCATGAAACCAGCTCTTTAGAATTCTATAGTTGGTTGAAAGTGTTTGATACCACAATCTTGATACAGCTATTCATTAATACTATGAAAGAATCCATCTCTCATGTAACATGTTCATCTCTACGCGTCCATGGCCTAACAGTTGGTCCAATTTTCAGATACTTAGTTACAAGTTCAGAATTTCCTTGGCTGACCCTAATACATTGGTTCTTGTTGTCAAGCTATTCCATGGACTCGTGGCGTTTAATGGAGTCTTTTTTCCTCTCTCTAACACCAGGGGATGGAATGGACCTAAAGTTAATAGTTTCAAACTGTCAAATACGCTAGAAAAAATTGATAATTTCATCAAAGCTGATTTTCCCAACAAAGGGTAATACTTGTGTCTTCAAATATTCCCAAAACTCTGGAGGAGTACACTCTGTAACTCAATTATTATCCTTAACCAGAGGTATCAGGTTCGAGGGCTTTGCCTGTTTGGATTGGTTTTTGGCTTTTGGCTTATTTTTACCATTTTAATTTACCCAAACAGAAATGAAAAATCTAGAATGTTGATTACTACTAGCTTGGAAAACTTTGCTCACAATACTGCAGAACCACGTACTTTTCTATCCTCACATCAAAACTTTTGTCATATAATTTGTCTTTTTGTCTTGTAATAAGGTGAAAGGTTCATAGCCAAGACTCTCTTTTGTTTGCTTTTAAGCAATTCTCATAGACTTGAAAATTGTTTCCCAGCTTCTACCATGACACAAACTCAATCAGGAGAGGATCCAACAGAAGTACAAAACTCCGGTTTGTCGTCGTACATGTATAGCTGTGGGAATTTAACAAACCATGAAGTACCTATAGTTATGGTTCCATTTCCAGCTCAAGGCCATCTCAACCAACTTCTTCAACTTTCATGTTTAATCTCTTCCTATGGTCTTCCTGTCTACTATGTTGGCTCGGCCACTCATAATCGTCAAGCTAGGATTCGAGCCAACGCCTTAAATCCTTCAGACATAGCCAAAGTCTACTTCCATGACCTTCCAACTCCTGAATTTGACTCACCATCACCTGACTTTAATGCCTTGAGCAAATTCCCATCACATCTTCAGCCATCGTGGGATGCTTCTATGCTTCTTCGCAAGACCATTGCTTCTTTCTTACGCCATATCTCATCAAAAGCAAGACGAGTCATTGTTGTTCATGATCCTTTAATGTCTTATAATGTTCAGGATGTTTCTTCTTTGTCCAATGTGGAATCCTATGTATTTAACTGCATTTCAGTTTTCACTTCATTCTGTTGGCTAAGCTTATCTCGTTCGATGTCTATGCAACATGAAGAAGAATTGCTTGAAAAGCTACCCTCCCTTGAAGGAATTATGACAGATGAAGGCAGGGACTTTTTGACTTATCAGCACCAGTATATGGATATTAGATCAGGTGATATCCATAATACAAGTAAAGTAATTGAAGGCAAGTTTCTTGATTTGTTGGCACAAGCAGAAATTCATCTGAACAAGAAGCAATGGGCAATTGGACCTATTCTGCCTAATAAACTCGACCATATCTCAAATAGGAACGATATATGTTTGGAGTGGTTGAACAAACAACCTCCGAGATCAGTTCTTTTTATATCGTTTAGAACAACAATTTCCTTTTCTGATAGGGAAATCAAGGAGCTCGCGATGGGGTTAGAGCAGAGTAAACAGAGGTTCATATGGGTGTTGAGAGACGCCGATAGAGGAGATATCTTTGAAGGGGAAGCTAGAAAGTTGAGTTGCCTGAAGGATATAAGGAAAGAGTAAAAGAGGTCGGGTTAGTGGTAAGAGAATGGGCACCACAACCAGAAATCTTGGCTCATTCGTCTACAGGCGGTTCATGAGTCACTGTGGATGGAATTCTTGCATAGAGAGTATAACTATGGGAGTGCCTATAGCTGCTTGGCCTATGCACTCTGATCAACCAATAAATGGTTTCTTCTTGACAGAAATACTGAAAATAGGCCTGCTTGTTCGAGAATGGGAGAAACGCGAGGAGCTAGTAAGTGCATCCACTATTGAGAATGTCGTGAGGAAGTTGATGGCATCAGAAAGAGGAGACCTGATTAGAAAAAGAGCAGAAGAATTGGGAGAAGCTGTAAGGCAGTCCACAGAGAAAGGGGGAGCTTCTCGAATAGAGTTGGATTCTTTCATCGCGCACATCACAAGATAGACTTGATTTTCAAGTATTTCTGTTACTTCTCACTTCAAGAAACTGCATCAGATGTTGTATTTGTATATGTGCATATGACTTTCATGTACCTTCATCCAAACCATTTGAGAACAATCATCAGTCATAGTCACAAAGTACTAAGTATCCTTCTCTAAGAAATCAAAAATTAGATGTCTCCAATTGTATCATTGTCATTAGAACTAATATACATGTTGAGAAAGAAGAGACCATCATAATTACATTGAAATAGCTATAGATTTACAGCACTACACGAACGTTAAGAAGCACGGTCCTCTCTTCCAATTATAATAAGATGTAAATAGGAGGTATAACAACCTTCAATGAGTTTTAACAGTCATCTGGACATGCGTCACAAGGACAAAAACAATTGGAATGATCGCGTTCACAGGTATTTAATTAGCAACTTTCTTGGTTTTCATGCATCGTTTTTCATCACTCATTGTGAGCCAGAAGATGGTAACTATGATTCATCCCATTCCCATGGCAGCACAGCTGCAAAAGAACTCACCCCCCATCGTACAGAAACACTTCTGTTTCTCATCTGCCCAAGCTAGTAGTGCCTTGTTAATCAAACCTCCAATGATAACTGAGCGTAAAAAGCCATTGACTTCCATTTCTACCGATGATCCAGGATTAAATGACATCATTGAAGAAGCTAAGAGTAGAATACCTGGAACCTTAAGTCATTCTAGTTCTTGCTCTTTCTGCGATAACTGATTGTGACAAAGCACTTCCAGATTGCTTTTCCATGGCCTTATTTATCATCAGTTTTCATGAAAACTGTTTACATTACTGCAGCCTCTAGCAGTATATGTTAAAGCAACAACCTCATAACTCCGATAATAAGCTATCAAATGGTGCTTAATAAGCACTATTCTACCTATTTTCCCTCGGTATAATCCTTGGGTATTGTCATCAAGTCCAAAGCCCATTGTGAGCTTAATGACCAATATATATTCTCGACCACAGCAAATTTAAATTCTACAAACAGCATATGGTGGTGAGAGTCAGAAATCTAGTTGTGTTTTACTGAGTGCAGTTAAGACACAGGTCACAAGTTACTAATGTGAAAGATAGGCTAAAATATTGTTGAAAAGTACTTGTTGTAATTGGTAAAAATCATGTCTATATAGCTGCGCTAACAAGAAGATACAACATTAACAAATGCTCGAAGGGAAATCAATTTTTTTTATGTAGGGCAATCCCTACTTGTGCTGGCAGATAATAGAATATGATGCCAATGAGAGAAAAGATCCAATAGTTTTGGGAGGAGAAAAAATTACTATAAAATTGCAATTGACTTTATAGGTTTTCGTCTAGTTTTAGACTACACATGAGACATGACACAACACTTAAAGATGATCGGATGGAGTTCGTAGAAACAGACTTTCCTCTCTAGAGTTATAGTGTGCCACCTAGAGACATTTGTTTAGGAAAGCTTCTTAAGAAGTGTGAATGTAAATGAGACAATTTCTTCACTATTACAACTGGCCAGACTTAATTATGCGGTCAATAAAGGACGGTATAAGTTCCTTACCACAAAACCAGCTGAGGCAAGAAAATCTTTAAACCTCCTAGTTGACGTGTGTTTGATGTTTTCTAGCCATGAAACAAGCCCCAATATCCCAAACAGGAGTCTTAGTTGGATGTATCGGAGGCCAATCTTGAATCTAAAGAGCACAACTTCTATGGCAGAATCAGATTTAGAGTCAGCCTTCAATGAAAGTCCATAAAGTGCATACTCAGCATATGCTAGTAACCTGACTCTCAAGGGAGCACCCAACTTGCTCGTCAGAGATCTTAGGAGCCCATCGGTCCGCAATACTGTAAGAAAATCGGTAGGCAGAGATTCCATGAAGGAAGATATGTCCTCCATTTTAAGAGACTTCAGTTCCTGCTTTAGGTTGTTACTTTCTTCAACAGACATCCCTTCCCCAAGTGCGGATTTACTGTCAATAGTTCTTCCTGTAAATATGACAGGGAAGTATCTTGAGTACTTTCCAACACCAAAATATTCTCCTATCTCCTGGATTTTGGCTGAGTCCTTAACTACCAAAGCCTCCCAAAGCTCGCAATACTTCAATCTGAAATCCTCATTCAACTGTTTACAAATCCCGAAATCCAACAACACTAACGAAAATCCATTCTTCCCTTCAGGAGAAACCAATATATTACCAGGATGTAAATCCCCATGAAGAAAACCATGAACAAAAATCATTTCTGCAAATACTTCTGCCAAAGTTTTCGCAACCTTGACTTCACTAATTCCTCTTTCCTTCAGAAACTCCAAGTCATCAACTTTACGACCTCTGCAAAACTCCATCGTCATAACCTGCCTTGTCGTAAAATCCCAAAACACATTCGGAACCCTAACCATAGAATTATCCTTAAAATTTACCCTAATCCTCTCCAAATTTTTGGCCTCTGCAATAAAATCAAGCTCAGAAGCAATAGATTTTTCAAATTCCATTACAAGCCATTGAAACCTATATCCGGGGAAGATCCATCCAACTGATTTCGACAACAACGACATAGTTACAAGGTCAAATTTCATTTGATACTCCAATCCAGGATACTGCACCTTCACTGCCACTTCCTGACGGTCTTTTACTAAAACAGCATGGTGTACTTGAGCAATAGATGCAGCAGCAACCGGAACCTCATCGAAGGAGAAAAAAAACTCCGATAAACAACTTAAACCTAAATTACTAACTAACACATGTTTAATCGATTCAAACTGAAAAGGAATAGCATGATCCTGTAATGAAGAAAGTGTTGTTGAGTATTCTTTTGGTACTTGCCTAATGGCAGCAACAAACTGACCTGCTTTGATGTAAATACCTTTATTTGCTTCACACATCGTTAGAATTCTCTTTGCTGATCGTAGATGTAGTTCGGAGAGAGTAAGGCGATAGTCGTCGGTGTGAGGATTGAGTCCGTATAGTGAGAACTTGTAGTCGATGACAGTGGAAGTTATGGTGAAGAGAGCTCGGGAGGAACGAACGACACCGTTGATGAAAGGGGAATCAATGGAAGAAAGGAAGGAGTTAGTGGTTAGGGTTTGGAAAGTAACTCCGGCGCCGGTAATGACGCCGGCGATCAGGTATTTATTGAATATCCGCCGCCGGGTCACCATGGTGGGTACCCGGACCTTGAGATTTTATGTAACCCATTTATAAGTAGAGGTAAGCATAAACACCGAAAAATCGAACCGAATCGAATTATTTTGGTATTTCGATTTTCGATTCGGTATATGGTTTTGTATTTTTCAGTATTTCGGTTCAGTTTTCGGTATGTAATTTTTGTGTAATTCGGTATTTCAGTTTACCGAAATAAATTATATTATAATATATATTAATATTATATTAATTATTAATATTAAAAAATAAATATTATAATTTAAAATTAAAAACAAAAGTTTGTCTTTTCAAACTTTTCAACTTTACAAACCCACTTTCCAAAAGGCAAAAATTATCGTTCCCACTTCCCACGTCTAGTCGTCTACAGATTATAGCAGCGTCGACTGTTCCGGCGACCAGCAGCCGCCAATCGACCAACAGGCAGCCGCAGCACAACAACGACCGGTAAATTTCAATGTTATAACAAGGCTAAATTTCAATGTTAACGACAATTTATTATTTTGAATCATACAATAATTTGAAAAACAGAGTAAAATAAGCAAAAAGAAATAAACATAAATAAAATAAACAAAAAAATTACAAAATTTTAAAAAGCCCACTAAGCAGGCCCATAACAAAAAACCGAATCGAACCAAATTATTTTGATTCGATGTTCGGTACACGTTGTACAAGAACCGAAAATCAAAAAAACCGGGAAAAAAAACCGAAACCGAACCGAAATACCAAATGTTCAGCCCTATTTATAAGCCAAAATTACACAAATTGCACTATTTGGTTACTTATACTTGATTCTTATATCTCGATTGTTATATTATTTTGTCTTAGTTTATATTTTATCAATTGTTGCTTCATGTACTTTATCATGTTTTGAATTATTTTTTCCTTAGGTCGAGAGTCTATAATTGTCTAACTCATTTTTATGCGAATTGGGTGGGGGATTTCCAATTGTGACAACTAGTTCTTCCCACCCAAGGAGTCGAGCCCTTTTTTGGACTTTCAGACTGCAAATGTGATTTCAAATCTTTGCATTCGAGGCAAGGTAGAGGTAAGGTTTATACATATTTGTTGTTGTAATAACTAGTTCTTCCCACAAGAAGAGTCGAGCCCTCTTTTGAACTTTCAAACTACAAATGTGATTCCAAATCTGTCTTCGAGGTGAGGTAGATAAAGTCTGTACGGATTTGATATAACAATAGCTAGTGCTTCCCACTTAAGGAGTCAATCCCTTTTTTGAATTTTCAAACCACGAATGCAATTTTATATCTTTACCTTTAAGATAAAGGTAGCGATGAGGTCTGTATGAGTTGTTGCAACAACAACTAGTTCTTCCCACCCAAAGAGTCGAGCCCTCTTTTGGGCTTTCAAACCCGCAAATGCAATTTCAAATCTTTATTCTTTGAGCATATAAAGGTTTAAAGTTTTTTCATGAAATTACACTAAATATGTTATTTATATTATTGTTATAAAATTACATAAAATATTCATAAACACCAAAATAATATGATAATCGAGATTGTTCCTTTTTAGAGTAGGAAAAAAATGATCCCAACTACTTGAAGAGAATTCAATTTCACCCCAACAAACATGAGTAGAAATGATAGGTGAACATTTGAATGTTACAAACTTTATTGGGAGATAGAAATATTAGAGGTCCTATGATTACACAACCCTAAATAAACAAGGATTCCTAATCAATTCATAGCAATCACATTCCACTATATGTACATGCAAATCACCAACAACAACAAAAAAAGAAGCTCAAGGTACACATTGATCAGTGAACATCTATTTAAACAGAGAACTTTAATGTCACTATTATATCCACAAACAATATCTTTAGTAACTAGCAAAAGTCACTAGCAAAAAAGTTACCAAGTGCCTAGAACAGCCTAACAGCATTACAGTAGTGTACACTCCCCTTCAGTATTCACAAATTATGAGGTTATATGTGGCCTTGGATTATGTGATCATCTCCCTGCAAAGACATAAACATGGTGAGGTGCAATCGATTTAAAGTTGAAATAAGACATCCAAGTGTAACGCGACACATTAAGCATTTATGCAGTTTATATGTACGTCACACTTGAAGCAGAGATATTACGGCATAATAAAAGAGGGGAACGAAAAACAATGACAGGATTGTTTACTTCTTTTTGAATAAATGAGATATCCCGAGGGACAACGGCACACAGTTCAAAACTCAGTAGGTAATGGAGCCATTTCTACGCCCTTCTACACTTAAAACCAGGTTGTCTACTACAAGGAACTCGTGATGGTAATTGTGGGGAAATTATAGAGAGAGCAAAAGAACCTACACAGGTGCTTTTTATCTACAAACATCTCAAAAGATGATCTTGAAGTCCTCCGAAAGTGGTGATAGCAGAATTTTACATGATAATATTTCCGGAGTTAAAAGAAATGCAGCAAAGAAAAGGGACAAACTTACCGACTGTGAATTCAGCCTTGAGGTGGAGATTCGGGCTCAGAACCGCCAATTGAAGAAAATGACATGGTATCTTCCTTTGCCATAGCCACAAAGTTGAGAGGGACAGTAGAAAGTCTTCTCATTTCCTTGAAATAGGTATTCTGCCGCCCAGAGTAAGAACGGGGTGTTTGAAGCTCTGGAGTGGCACAACCAACTGAGTTTCGGCGTGGTGAGGGAGTGACTGACCCATTTCCATTTGTATGGAATCCATTCGTCTTCCTAAAGCTGTTGCTTCTTCTGGGACTAGGTCTAGAACCATATATAGATTCCTTCTCTGCCAGAAGCATATCTTGGAGTTTCTTCTGATCCTGTGTAAAAGAAAAGATAATAACATATATTTTTAAATCATTACTTGTAAATCAAATGGGCAAAGAAACTCCCTACTTAATATCATTCCCTCATCTATTAGGACTCAATTGAAGCGCCCATTTAGTACAAGGACAAATCAGTAAGTAGAACTTCGTTATTATACAACATAAGAATTCCCAGTTAATTTTTTGATATCGTGCATTCCGTTAGATACACGTCTGATATAAGAATTCAGCATTTATTAGTAAATGAGGGTAATGACAGTACCCGAGCACGTTTCTTATCCTCTTCTTTCTGATGTCGACTCACTTTGTAATCCTCCAATATTGACACCAATCTCACCTACAAGTACAGCAAAATCCACTTGACCAACAGCAGAAACAAAAGAAAAAATCTAGAAGTTTCTTAGCTGCAAAAGAACTCACCCCATCGTACAGAAACAACTTCTGATTCTCATTTTCCCAAGCTAGAGTCCGGCTAATCAAACTGTCAACCATACCTGAGCATAAAAGCCATGGAGTTCACTTTGTGTCAATGATACAAGCTTAAATGACACCACCGAATAAGCTAGAGTAGAATACCTGGAATCTTAGTCACTGTAACTCTTGCTCGTTCTGCTCGCTTTAAATTTATATGAGCACCTCTTCCACCACTGTAACGTGTATGATCCTGACAATTTAAAACTAATCAAACTATAGCTGATGTAAAGTTTTTGTCAACAATAGAAACTAAAGTTACTAGAAGCGTCAGCTAGTAGGAAACAGAGATTGGCTACAGGAATCGAATGGAAGTAGTTTATACTTACCAGGTTATAATCTTCAAGCCAGTTTTCCTCATCACATGATGAAAGCCACCGCTCTATCTTATCCATAATTTCTTTTCGGCTTAAAGCTTCATCCTTTACTTTGTTTATTTGTGCTTCAATATTTGCCAGGAGTTCACAAGGGTCCACAAGACCTAAATGGAGATTGAGCTCATTTCTCTGCATTGAAGTTCAGATGAACAAAGCACTTAATGAATCCAAGTCAGACGTCTTACCAGAGTCGATCATTGCACTGGATTTATCAGCAGCAGTACTTGAATCAGGTTGTATATGGGTTTTACAGCACAAATCCTCCAGTTCTGCCCTCCTTTTCATCACCAACTCTTTCATTCTGCTTGCTTTCAATTTGGTAAGCCTCCCAACTTCTGCTGATACCTAGCAATGTCAAAAACAATATCAATTCTTTCTGCAAATATATATATAGGAACTATTAATGATTACAATTTGGAAAAATAAGCCCACTATACTGGTATATGCACTCTCTTCTCTCTTCTTCAATAGTCCTTCTCATTGGAATCACTTTTTGTGTCACATAACTTTAGGAGAAAAAAAATGTGTGCGGAAATGAAATAAAGGGGAAAAAAGAATAGACCAAGAAATAGGGAAAAATTAAGAGGTAAAAAGTGCTTGCACACCTGTTGAATAACCTCCAACGTAAGTGCACCTGGTTCCACAACCTTTGATTCAGAAATGTCAAGAAAGGAAATGATCCTTGATAACTTACGCCTTTCTTCTCTCGTTGTATCCATCAACTTCCAAAGCTCAAACAGAGATCCCGCCACGTCCTTTAGCTGCATTATTGATGAGATTAGATAGCGAATAAAGAAAAGACAGTACCATATCTAGGAAAATAATACCTTCTGATATCGAACTTTTCTTTCTGTTTTCAGTTTAAGGATAGCCTGGTCTAGACCTTCCAATGTGCTGTCACTGATGTTTGTGTACTGTCCCAGGCTTGTCTCGTGCAAGCTTGGATGCACATTGCTTACAGTTTCACCAAAATCCAGCCCAAGTACACCGCACAATGTGTGAACCTCATTCACACTGTCCAGAACTCTTTGGACACGCACAGACTGCATGCAGAAGCAATCATCATTATTCAATTTGCTAAAAGAAAGAGAGGTGTCTTATGATAAACCAAAAATGCACCATTCATGATGATTAAGAATGCCATGCTGAACCACATAAACGCAAAAAAAGGATCTCCAGTTATATACTGTATAGTTTTTAAGAGTGCTGTAGATGACCTGAACCCTATAGAACTGGACTAATGAGATAGAAGAGAAATGGGAAGTAAGCTACATCCATGGACCAAGTTGACAAGGCAACTTACAGAATTGTATACATCATGAGAATAATGATACACAAACATCTAAACATAACCACTAGGGAAACCAG